CTCCTCTACAACCAGACATCACACTGGCCCCATCATAGGATTGAGCAACGATAGGAATATTATCTAAGTTTAATTCTTTCAAGAAAGATAAAATAAAACTTAATAATGAAACAGCAGTTTGGCTCTGTGATACATTTACAAAGCCCAGAAAACGTTCAAGAATTTCAAAATCTTTTGTGTATCTAATACAGATAGACATTTGCTCTTGCTTATGACACCTTTGAAAAATTACTTCATTATTATTATACATTCTTTATTTATAAATAAATAGAAAAATTTTATAGTCTGTATTAATATTTTAATTACCTTGCTTCATCACACATAATAGACAAACATCCAGCATCCTTAACTTCAGACATTATCATACTTTGAACATTATTCGCACATAAGCTAATAAGTTCGTTTTGTATTAACGGACTAGTGTAATTTATTGAACAGTTAAATAATGTTTTAAACTCTGGATTGTGGTTGGAAAATAATTTACACATTTCAATAAAATTTCCTAAATACCAGTATTAAAATAAAAACATTAAAAATCAAAAGGAAAAAGTCAGTTTTTATAATTTATATAATAGATATTTGTATTAATTAGATAGGTACCTTGATTAGGTGAGTTTGTGTCTTCTTTGTGTCCACGAAACGCAATCCCTTGGCGAGCCAAAAACAGTGCAATATTAATAAGCTTTTTTAAATAATTCCTATTATTTTCAACAAATTGTTGATGAGCAATTGATATTTGAGAACTAACACATCCAGCAACCACACTGTTCTTGTAACCTGACATTCTAGAAATATTTAACATGTGTACTTTAGTAGCAGCATGTGCTTTTAGTTTTGAAATGTTTGAATTTGCACCTCCCATCTAATTGATAAATAAAATTATTAAAAATATTTGTTAATTAAAAAATTAAAAGTTATTAGATACTACATCAATACATCAGTTTACATTTATATGTTTGTTGTTTATATATAATATATTTTTAGAACTAAAATACAGCTGCATATATTTTAATTTGTTAATACCTTTTTCCAATTTGTAAAGCCAGTTTTTGTAAATACTTTATCAACATCACCGCAACCAAAATTTCGGCAGCAAAAACAAAATGCAGCATTTTTTTCTAAGCTGTACTCGAGCCAAGAGTATTCTTTTAAATATTTTGCACTAAAAGATCTGTTTTGTTTTCCAGCTACTGTAACGGGCTGTGACTACATACATATTATAATAGTAATAATATATAAAATATTATATTATATTATGCTGTATTAAGTATAATACGCTTATAATATAATATATTATATTCAATAACAGATATAAATGTTGCAGGGGGCACGTAACCCGATAATAGTAATAATATAAGCGTCCGGGCAGCCACATCGATAAGAGCACAGAACTAATTAATGGTACAGGCGTACAGCGCGAACGTTACACTACCGTCATAGGATAAGCCTAAATATAATAGATAATTTGTAATAATAATACAACATAGGTAATTTCTGTATAGTTAGTAGTTACTGTATTATAATAATATTATATAGGTAGGTATAAAGTTTTTGATTTGGGTGTTTAAAAAAAATATTCTGTATAGGTAATGTAAAAAATAGTGAACTTAAAGTATTTTAATTAGATATTAAATAGTTAACAAATACCTCTATTTTTATTTTATAATTACAAACATTATGGTCTTAATTAATAGAATATTGGTAAATTTTTACAACTCACATCTAAAATCGGTTTTACAGGACCAGTTTCTTTGTTTCCCAAATCGCTCACATTATTACTATCTTTAATAATTTTTGAATTAATATTTAAAGTGCTTATCTCACATTCTGATTTTGTTGATTCAGCAACTTGTTTTTGATTATAACCAAGAACCTGCAGTTCAATAATTAAAATTTAAAATGAAATTTAAACAGAAATATCAAATAATAATTATCCTATAATTAATAAATAGATAATTACGTAAATCGTATTACCTCAATTGTTTGTATATCTGGTAAGACTTTCATTGATGATTGGTTTTTTGGTGCATCATTATTATTTTTCTTAGCACTACTTGCTTTTGATTCAAATATGCTGAACATTTTAATAAATAGGTAATGGGTAAATTCAATAAATTTAACATATACGCAAAAAAAAATAGTTGTTACTGAGACACTGTCTAGTACACTAATACCAGTAAATAGTAATATCTATTCGCAGTCTGCACAGACGCATGACGCATAGTGCTTGTAAATTGAGAATTGTTACCTAGAAAATATTATATAATAGTAGGTACTATAATCACTAACCAGTAACTGCTGTACGATATAACTAATATGACTATACAAAAATACGCCAATACTGGTAGGTACCCATTTAAAGATAACAAATATAATAAGTGGGTTTTGGTCTTCGGGACATACAATACAATCCTATAAATAAATCAATATGTATAAAATATTAATTATTAATTATGACTATTATGAGTTATGACATATGAGTTATTTTAAACATTTTTTTTCTTATTTTTTCGGATTTGGGTTTTAGCTACAGGCTCGATTTGAGGCTAAAATGTAAAACCTTCTAGGGGGGCTAAATACAACTGCAGGGGGGCTAAGCCCCCCTAGATCCCCCCCCTAGTTACGCCGATGACGACGCACGGCAGTGGTTTTAATCACCCACTTCAAGCTAAAGCTCGAACGCACAGCACCTTTACTCAGCGTTTACTCACAGAGAACGGACGAGCGGATACAAGGACAAACCCGTGGCCAACGACAAAACGATGCACGCCAGGCAAGATGTCATCCGCTCCATGACAAAATAAATAGGTATGATATCAACTTTGCGATACGCAACTGTGTGTTCTCCCACCACAAAAATTACGTCATCCGTTCTCCGATATTATATTTATTATTATTTCTGCTGGTAAGAACGGCTTACGTCACAGTTCATGGCGAAGTGCGGGAGGGGTGCGCGTTCTCAACCAATATTAGTTACGTTGATAGCATACCTATTTATTTTGTCATGATCCGCTCGCTCCGCGAAGTACCGAGTTACTGAGAAGTGAGAACACCGGACCGGTTGCACGGGCGCGCAGCTTTCGTTCAACGGCGCTTATCGGAGTTGAGAGATATTTAAGAGATATTATTATTATTATTATTATTTATTATATATTGTGGCGACTATGTATAAATAAAACATTTCCGCTAAGATTCCTATAAATATATATATATATGTAGTTATACTTTGAAAAATATTATTTAGAAATAATATAATATGTATGCCTAAATATAAAACAAAATGTTTTTTATTTGAAAAATCTTATACCTATGTTTAGCATATAAGATAATTGTAATAAGTGTAGAATACTCCTATATATATATATGCCAATTATACTTATATTATTTTCTAATGAGTATATTCAACTTTTGATTTTATAGACTACACGTTTTTTTTTAACATAATAATATAATATTGTGTATTGGTTTAGTGGAAAGGGCGTCAAGTGGGTGTACATATAAATTTATATAATTTAAATATATACATTATATAGGTCATAGGCGTGTGCAGGGGGGATGCCGGGTATGTTGGAATCCCCTGGAGAGTTATCATAACTATATAGCTTTTAGTTGTAAATGTTTTGATTATATAAATTAGAATCCTGAACTAATAGATAGATCATAGTATCTTAGTTCAAGAATTTAAATATTTTGATTATTTTTTTATATTATTTTCTTCTAATAAAATATTGGGAGTTGAGATGAAATAAAATATTAATTAGATTTCATAATTATATTTTCATAATCACCACAGTTACCTATAAATAATAAAATAGATTGCTAACTCATAATAATATAGTTGAAATCAAAATCAACAATTTTCGTGAGAATTGCGGGTTTTGTGAAAAGAATCTTCAGGCCCCTGCGGTATTGCTAATTTTCATACTACCTACAATTTACAACTATCATTAATATAACATTAAAATAAAATAAATTAAAACGTTTTTCAATGTAAAAACATTTTTTTTTTTTTTTTTTAATAATTTATTTTTTCATTCGAAGTCTATAATAAATCTTGCATTATCTTTTCCCCTATATATAAGAGATATGGGGGGAACACGACCCTCATTATAATTTTTAACCTCATCGGAGGTTATCTGAATATGCCTAGGTAAGAATATATTGATAGTGCCCTCCGAGGCACTATCAGTCAGCTTGCACGCTGTTGATTTCCCATATTTGGTGTCCACCACGCTCATAGCCAATATTTGGTAACCATCACCCACAGCCAAATCGCCAACTGACTTGTTGCTGTTAATGGCTTGACGCTTGAGGTTAATCAGGAACGCCATTTTGATCTGGGGAAAAAGAAAAAAAATAATAAAACATTGCCATACTTGTAAGACACTATATAGAATATCCAGCCAGATTAAGTATAAAATAATATAATTATTTAACGTGTAATAAAATATTATATATGTGTAAAAAAAAAACAACCAAACTTGGAGATAGTTAATCCTCATTTAGTGAAATTATATGTTTGATAAAATATTTATTCGAACACTGCAAGCCTTTCCGTTGATAATATTAACCCTGAATACTATTTTAATGAATATCTTTATAAAACGTGTTTTTTTCCCCCAACTATGGTACATTAAGCGTTAATAAAGTTTCGCTGTGTTCAAATATTAGTATCTAACATAAAATAACTATTCATAGAAAATTAGCTTAAAGAAAAAAATAAAAACATTTTCGCACTTGTAAGGCATCATACATAATATTCGACCAAATTAAGTATAAAATAATATAATTATTTAACGCGCGATAAAATATTTATAATAAATAAATATATAAATAATACTCACTTTTACTATTGTTGCGGCTGCGACTACGGTGATGATGACGATGACGATGGTTCAGATGGTTATGTTCTCGACATAACGGGGACGTTTGACAACGTTAGCTGGACCCCATTGCTGAAACAGCTTGAAAGAATTGCCGCTTCACTAAGAACGTTGCGGATGACCGAGTCGTACCTCCACAACAGTTGGGCACAACTAACGCTGGAAGGTAGGAAGCATGAGAAGAAGCTGAAGAGAGGGTGCCCTCAGGGTTCTCAGCTAGGTCCAACCCTCTGGAAAGTCGCTATGTCTGAGCTGCTAGCGTTACCAGCTGAGGACAACATCAAAGTCATTGCCTATGCGGATGACATCGCCCTCCTGGTAGGAGCGGCTAGGCATGATACGGTGGTATCAAGAACAGAGAAGTACCTTGACAAGATCAAAAAATGGGCTGACACTTACAACCTATCCTTCTCCCCTCTAAAGACACAGGTGATGTCAATTAAGGGAGGAGTGAAGCCAGGATATACGGTAGGCTTTGGCACGGATGAAACGGCTCCGAGGATAGTAGCCGTAGGTACCGTACGCTATCACGGGGTAGTGCTGGACCCAAGAGGAGGATATTGGTGTCACATTGAAACCTTGGCCGAAAAATGGAAAAGCCTATATAGTAGGTTAAGGACCCTAACCTCGGCGAACTGGGGCATAAGCCAAATGACCTCAAGGACACTATACAAAGGGGTGTTCCTGCCGAGGATAACGTATGCGGCCGAGATATGGTCAGGCGGTGCAAAAATGAAAAAATCAATCAAACGACTAGGCAGTACGCAAAGGCCACCTCTACTCGCTATGACCGCGGCATACAGAACGGCCTCGACGAACTGCCTCTCAGTCGTGGCAGGGGTGTTACCTTTTGACTTGGAGATTGAGAAAAGTGCGCTCCAAAGACGCCTGGCAGGAGGCGAGATTACCCAGGAGCAGCTCACGGAACACGTGGCGAATATATTTACCACATGGCAGGAAAGGTACGAAGCGACCGATAAAGGGGAATGGACCAAGCGCATGGTATCCTGCGTGCGGGAGCGGTACATTCTGCCTATGCCCTTGGACCACTACACGACCCAGTTGCTGACTTCAAGTCCAAACTGTTTGGGTTCAAGCTAGTGGCCTCGCCCAACTGCGGGTGCGGGAATGGATCAGAGACAGTCCAGCACGTTATATACCGCTGCCCGAGAACGGAGACATACAGACAGGAGCTCAAAAAAGTGATGGCTGAAGAACATGAGGGCTGGCCACCCAGGAACGGTGCCTTCCTCAAAACGAGAAGGACGTACGAGGCGCTTAGGAAGTTCGCCAGGAAAGCTCTAACAAACAGAACCGACAGATAGTGTCCAGAAATGGGCTAAGGTCAGGACGCAGCCACACCAGGCTGTGTAAGTGCATAGTCTCGGGGTGTCCCGGATGAGCACGCACGGTGTAAGCGGCACAAGCGGCGGGGCACGCTCGAGCGCGTCCTGACCAGGGGCGTGCTCATGCGCCCAGGGCGAGGAGTTCGGCCCTGTTGCTGGGGCCGTCCAGAATTCAGCATCAGTATTCCCTGCTTGTCGTAAGAGGCGACTAAAAGGGAATAGCCAGACGGAGCCGGCGTCTGGGACGCGGACACACCGAAACCTCCGGGGACTAGGGTGTCGGAGGTTCTGACTTCGACCTCGTGAAGAGCGAATCGATCACCTCGGTGATGCCTCTGGGAGGCGTGGCAAAGGCTACCGAGCCTCGAACTCGGGAGTCGCGGCCACCGCGCCAGGGTGACCGCCGCTGGTAAGGGCCCACCGTGAGCCCGTGATACACGATCCTAATCTCGTTATGACCACAGCTGAGACTCTTTGTCGACGAAGCTCGGCCCGACCATCCAACCATTGATGGGCCTTCCTAACGGGGGCGTGAATGGTACTTCGGGATGTGGGGGGGGGGCCTACGGCGTCGAGTTAATTGACGCCGTGCCCTCACACGGCGGTCGCGCACCGGCCTCGGTCGTGGCGTGGTCGACGGCGGTTTGGTTTCGGAGTGGCTGTTAGCAGGAAGTCTAGGGGAAGGTTGCCGAGTGAGATACTCCTTAGCGCTCACCCAGCCTACCGGTGGGGCTATATGCACCGGAGGTTGCCCGTGACCAAAAACGGGAAGCAATGAGGATAGCTTGCGACCCGACCAGGGTGGCGAAGGGCACGTTCACGCCTCAGCCAACGGTACGGGCGCACTCTCTCCCAACTACGGTGGGAACGGGTGTGCACCCGGTGCTCGTGGTCCATAGACGACGCGCGGGCGGCGGCAGATGGGTAACTCCACCGTACGCCGACCGTGAACCTCCGCGGCCCTCGACTAGCGCACAGCGCTAATGTGAGGTCCGCGGTTGTAGCCTGCAAAGGCACCAAACCCGGGAGTCTTCGTGTGATGTCTTTTATCTTAGTAGATCTTCTATCTTAGTAGTGGTATCTGGGTCCCTAGAGGCGAAACGCCACCCGCCACCCGCCACCTGCCACCCGCCACCTCCGCCACCAGTCGCACCTACCCCGGACCGACCCCCCCCCCACCGCCACACACCACCCGGCAGACCGCTGCACCGCCACCACTGACACCCTACCCACCGGCCTACGCCCCTCCACTACCCCGCCACCCGGCAGACCGCTGCACCGCCACCACTGACACCCTACCCACCGGCCTACGCCCCTCCACTAACCACCACCCGGCAGACCGCTGCTGACACTGCCCACCCCCGACCGTACCCTCCACCACCTATCCTTATCACATTGTTTTTATCTATTAATGCGCTATCATATTACCATTATCACATTGATAAATAATTATAATGCGCTATCATATTACCATTATCACATTGATAAATAATTATAATGCGTTCTCATATTACCGTTATCACATTGATAAATTATCTATTAATAATTAAATATGGTTTAATATTTAAAAAATATTCGTGTATATCGCAAACAAAAAACACGCACAGATTACACGGTTAACCTGCAAGGTCACCGTTGAATGACCACAGCCACCCTTTCACGCATCATTAGTCTTCACCCGATCTTTTACCAAGTCATACGTAGTGTGTAAAGTATTTTAAAATGTCGTGTAACAGCAGCCAAGTGTCTACAATAAATACACCAGATATATCTGCAGGATTCATTGATTTCTTAGCGAATGGCGAGTTTGATGAAATGGTAAGTTAAGTTATTTTCATATTATAATTAAAAATAATACAGTTAATACATATTATAGCTATCAAATACACCAAGACGTGTCTTTTATAGTACATTACTAAGCCAAGAAGAAAACATATCTTTTGGCGATGAACAAAATAACCAACCAACAAATGGTACGTTCATTTTATTATTGTTTTTATGCATTAAGTACACAATATATTTACCATTATAGAAAAACAAATTGATGCATGGGGTGCTGAAGATGCGGAAGCCATTGACGCAATATGTTCCGAAGCATTGGACAAATTTATATTGGGTGAAGATTACACTGATGATGATTATAAAGCTTTAGATGAAATATGTAGTAAAATTGAATACAGTACATAATATACTAAAACTTGTTATTTATATTTGTAAAATAAAAATTCACAATTATAAAGGTTTATATTTATATACAATACGTCATCTTATATAAACGGTGAATCAAGCATGGTATCATCGGTATCTGACGATTCCATTTCGTTATCTGCAAATTCGTCATCCGTTATATGCGGTGAATAAACCTCGGACATTGTTTCATCTGACGATTCCGTTTCTGTATCAGACATTTCGGCGTCTGTCATGTCGTCATCACCATGTATCTCATCATCATCATCATCGGTATCGGCTAACTCTTCATAAGCATAGAGATCAGCCATATTTATGATTGGTGGTGACACTTGCTCGTCTCGACTAAACATAAATATTAAATTAAAAAAAGAAATATAGGTAAATAATGTTAAAGTTGTTTACCTTACGTCCCTGAGTATTTCGTCTATAAGATCCCATACGCCATCTAAGTCAGCAGTTGGTGGAGGTTGTGGTTGTGGTTGCACTCTGATACTAAACATTAAATAAGTCGAATTAATAATAATAATAATAATAATAATAATAATAATAATATTAAACTTACATTGCATCTAATTCCATTTGAGTCGCCATTTCGAACTGATTATCATTATTCTTTTTATGTCCCCTCCGAGTGTTTATAAAAAAATACATAAAAAGTAAACGAAACATTTTAACATACAAGTGTATATCGTGTTACAATCGTATGAGTACTGACCTACATAATATTATTCGTATAGTCAGAACTGTAATTTATTTACTCCTCCCCTGTCAAGGGTGAAAGAATCTTTTGTAATACCTCAGTGCAGACCAAGGATGATACGGTCATTCGATTACATTTCTCCCCTTCCAAGGATAAACATCCCTTCCAGGGGGTATTTACCCCTACCACTCAAAAAAGATTCTTTTTATAATAATAATAATAATAATAATAATAATAATAATCACTTGACAAGCGTCAGTCTGCCAACTTGTAAACTACCGTTCAGACGTTATATCGTACGTATACTAATATTTGTTCAAAAATGTTTAAATGCAATAAGTGTTTATCCGTTTTCTCTCGGAAAGATAGTTTAACCAGACATTTAAAGAGTCATGAAAAAAAAAAATTCAAATATTCGATTTGTGGTGTTTTATTTGTTCGAAATGATAGTCTTAAAAGACACACTCAAAATATGCATGGTAATCTACGAAAAAAAAAAAATCATGGTAAGTACAATTTAAAAATATTTTTTACCGGGGAGAGCAAGTTTTCAACATGCATCATTTTTAAGGAGTTGCGTTTAAGCAATACTTAGTTTTCATTCCTGCATCCTTTTTAAGGAGTTGCGTTTAGGCAATGTTTAGCCCCTGCAACATTTCTCAGACAATTTTTACCGACCGAGCAAACAGTTAGGGGTAGCTGTGTTCAAATATTAATATTATTATTATTATTATTATTTTCCTAGATGATAATATAACGTTTAGAAACGACGATAACGCGTTGGATAATGCCGAAAATAATGAAACAAGTATGAAAAATTATCTATATACATAGTGCCAAATATTAATATTATTATTTTGCAAGATGATATAGTGTTTGAAGATGACGATGACGAAATTATGATAAAGTGATGGATGAGTTTGAAAATAATAAAAAAAGTATGAAAATTACACCTATATTTAGTGTCAAATATTAATATTTTTATTTTGCTAGATGATATAATGTTTGAAGACGACGATGACGAATATTATGATAAAGTGATGGATGAGTTTGAAAATAATAAAAAAAGTATGAAAATTACACCTATATTTAGTGTCAAATATTAATATTTTTATTTTGCTAGATGATATAATGTTTGAAGACGACGATGACGAATATTATGATAAAGTGATGGATGAGTTCGAAAATAATAAAAAAAGTATGAAAATTACACCTATATTTAGTGTCAAACATTAATATTTTTATTTTGTTAGATGATATAATGTTTGAAGACGACGACGACGACGAATATTATGATAAAGTTATGGATGAGTTCGAAAAAAGTATGATAAACTATATAAGCTAATTATATTTATATAACAACATATTTTTTTTTTCTAGGTAAGCATCAGAATATGATTGAAGTAGCCCCAAATATTTTCGTTGACAATATACAAGCTGGACCTTCTAATCAAAGTATTTATTTAACATTTTTATATAAGTGTATAATATGCTTATATTAGTGTATATGTTTAGGTGATGCACCGGTCGAAACAAAAAAAGAAAAACTAGCAGACAACAACAACAGCGTCATCATCTTGGAGTTTGACTTGTTGAAAATTAACAATAAGAAAACTAAATTTATAAAAAAGTACAATGCGTATATGATTAATTATAGTATTACATTAAAACCTGTACCGGGGAGTTTAGATATAGTTAGTTTAAATGCACTATTGGAGGATGGGTTAGAAAATATTATATCAAATATTAAAAAAATTACAAACTTCACTGATGGTGATATTGTTAACTTGCACGCAGACAATCCGAAGTTTTTTTCACCAATATCTACAGGCAATATGACGTCTCATTAGATATTGTCTCAGGAC